AACTATCGCCCTTTGCCTCTGTCTCAAGATATATCATCCTCATATAAATTGGCAGGGTAGGATGCAGTGTATTTGACCCAGTACCCAGTTTCCCAGGAATGGACTGCAGTATAGTTAATGACACAAAAGCAATCCTGATATTGGCATATAGAGAAAACCAATTAACGGCAACAATTCTGCCACCCTGACAATAGCAACAAAATCAGGGATAATAGTACAGTCACAGACAAACTGCACATTGATGTTTTATAAGAACCAGTGCTTTTTAACCATAAAAGAAAGATCTATAATTATAGTATAAACAGTAAGACAAAGAAAATACATACAGTAAATATCTGCTAAATCCAGCATCCATACTTCCACTAATACCACAAAAGAATTCAACAGTAATAGCATACTGTTAACTATAGAACTATTAACAAAAATTAATAGTTATAATGATAGAAAGGATGATGAACTGGAGAATTAAAGAAGTTAAATTTGAAAAATAAAGAAAAGAAAAATAAGGAGAGAAAATGAGATAATAGGTCCTATTAAGGAATTATAGGAAATTAATATAGTTAGATAAAAATAACAGACAAGAAGGCCAAGCATGGTGTTGCATACCTGTAATCCCAGCACTCAGAAGGCTGAGGCAGGATGGTCGCTGTGAATTGGAGGCCAGCCTGGGCTGCAAAGTAAGTTCAAGGCCAGCCTGAACTGCATAGTGAAACCCTGTCTTAGGAAAAAAAAAAAGATGAAAAATTAACAGAAAAGAAAAAACAGGCTGAAAAAGAAAGAAATTAAAAGGTAGAAGAAAAGCAAAAAGTGGGGAAAAAGAACCCAAACCCCAGTGAAAGAATGAAAAAAATGTGTCCAGCCCATATGTATAGATCCCTTGTGTTTTTTAATGAATAGTTTCTTTCCAGGTTCTGCAGTCTTGGGATCCGGCAGACACAGTGGAGAGATAGTGAGTCATTACTAAGAACTATTTTGTTTCTACACTCACATTTTTGTTAGTGTGGTATCCTGCTCTGCCTTTCCCACTGGGCATGGTCTGTCAATGATGTCTATGCTATGACTGTTGTCACTCTGACAATTCCCATCTTCCGTGTCCCTCTGTGGATCCCAAGTCATGGTTTTCTCTGCCTGACTTTGTTCCCTGTGTATTTGCAAAGTGCCCCCACCCCCATTCCAGAGGCTCCCCCGCCTGCATACCCTAGGCTGTGGCAACTATACAAGCTGAGCCGTAGACTTGCTCACATTTATAGATTGAGAAAGCAAGTAGACCACTGAGTTCAATGTTGATGTAGCTAGCAGGGCGGAGCATGTGGTTAAGCTGTTTGGTGGACTCAATACCAGCACTTTCGGACACAGTCCCCTCTGGAAGCCTCCCACACTCACTCAGCGAGGCTGCTCACCATGGAAAGCGGGCTCTCTGTGTCCCTCCCAGCCTGAGCTTTAACTTCTGAGGAGATTTCTGTCTAGTCAGCACCCTCTCTGTGACTATCTCCTTTGCCGTCTCCCACTCAGTCATTGTGACAACCAGCACCAGAAACCCTGTGGTACATCTGCTCTGCGGTTGTTCTATGGCTCAGTCCTAATGAACCCATGGTCAAAATGGTGACCGATCAAACCCTCTCAAATACAGTATGGTAGACAATTTCCTGGGATTCCTCTCCAACTCCAGCCTGCCTTGTGGAAGAAGTCGTTTTCAGAGTAAAGGGCCATCCTGTTTTTGCAGTTCACAGTAGCCATAGGCTTCTCTTGGGGGTAATGTTATCACTTGCTGGAGTGGCTGTCCTTCTGCAGACACTTTGTCAGTGGAGACATCCTCCCCAGGAGCCAAGGCTAAGACTCTACTCCTCTAAACTGGGTGGCTAGTGGTGTCATTTTACTGAGATAGGGAACAACGGAAGGGAGCAAGTTTGCATTTTTTGTATGTTACACTTGGTCTTGAATGCAGAGAATGATTGGTTTGGTAAGCCTGGCAATCTGGTGGCCTTCTAGTGACATACCATTAAGTCAATTCTGTGTGTAACTTAGCCCATGCATTTACATTTAAGTCACTAATGACAAATGTGCAGCCAATCCTATTGTGTTAGAAGACTTTATTTGCAGACAACAGAGGGCATGCATGCATACTAGTGTAAGGATTAGAGGTATAGGTTAAAGTAGGGGCTGTATCCTGGAGTCCAGGAGAATTGCGAAGCTCTGAAAGTATATGAAAAATTGTGTGTATGTGTATACTGAAGTTTTATGAGCAGAAGTCTCACAGATTTCTTCAAATTTTTCACAGTTGATTATGAGCCCAAAAAGATGATCAAGAACTGCCAATGGACTAAAATGTACCATAGATATTGTGTAATAGGAAGAATTTTTCAAAAGGAAAAAAGGAACTAGGGAGGGGGAGGGGGAAAGGAAGGAAGGGGAATGGAAAAAAGCAATAAAAGAAGGGTAGAGTGGAAGCAAAACTTTGTAAATTAGGAGGTAAAGAGGGGTTCAAGGGAGGGGGTAGGATTGAGAAAAAAGAGGATACAAAGTATATTATGTACAGGTACAAATTCCTTATGACAAATATGATCATTATGTATATCTAAATTGTACCAATAAATTTAATTTTTTTGTCCTTTGGGGGCAAGGTCTCACGATGCAGCTCAGGCTGTCCTTGAGCTCACTTTGTAGCCCAGGCTGGCCTCAACCTTGTAAAGATCCTCCTGCCTCAGCCTCCCAAGTGCTGGAATTATAGGCATGCACCAGCATGTCCGGTATAAATTTAATTTTAAAAAAGCTAATGAAACTGCTTTGTTAGAGTTAATCACTTGCCAGGGACTCTTCCCAAGCCCTAGGAGGGCCCCTAGGAGTTCTGTATTGTTTTCACATAAAAGGATGTTCCTCACAAATTACGTAGAATGCCTAGTCTCACAGTATCTGGATCCATCCCTGCCAACCATAGAGTGGGGAATTACCTAACAAGAGTTAGTATCTGGGAGTGGATTCAGTTCAGGAGGAACGAGTGTAGAGAAAGAATCTCAAGAAGGCATGGGCTGGCACTAGAAATGGCAGGAGAAAACCAAGCAAAGGAAAACTGGTTGCTAAGGGAGAAGAAAACTCAGACATGGTCATGAAAGTAGAAAGAGAGGTAGTTAGCTGTGTCTAGTATGGATGGGAGAGCAGAGAAAATAAAGCAAAGATTATGGGAGTTGGTAAGACACTTTCGGTGGAGCGAGAGCGCAGAAAGCTGGTTGTTCTGTTTGCTTTCCTGAACAAGCAGAAATGATGGTTGAACAAGTGTAAATGGTAACTGCAGCAAACAAATGTACAGAGGAATTAGGCACGATGATAGAAAGCTCTAAATTGACTGCTGGGATAATCATCAGGTAGACTCACTGTATAATCAGAACCAGTGCTGCGTTAAGTTAGATGGAACGCATGGACTTTTACAAAATGTATCCTATAGCTAGGCAGAGGTTTTCGGTGACTCTTGTCCCTCTGCCCCCAACCTTTCTTTTCTGCTCCTATAAAGTCCCTCTCAATACTTGAATTTCCACGTTTCTGCCCTCTTTTCCCTGTCCTCTGGCAGACATACCCAATGAGAGACAGTGCAAAGAGCAAAGAAGCCACAAGTGTGACATTTAAATATGAAAATTTTTTAATTTAAAAATTCTCATGGGAAATTTATAAAATATATAATATGTATGAGGTTAATTCCATGTTATCTGTAATTCAGGCCAAAGAAACATCTAGTTTCAGATAAATAAACCACAAGTATGCTGATTTGCCTGGTGTTATGAAAGTGAGTACTATTTATTCAGTGTGGAATGAAGTATTATCAGAGGTACATACTCAAATCTGTTGATATGACTTTTATGGAAGCTACCAGATGTCATTTTAGAATATTTCCATAGTACCTTCCTGCTGGGAACTATTTTCAGATATATAAATTTCATTATAGTTCCTAATTTAATTTCTTTACGATTGTATCTTTAAAGGCTTTTGGCTTATTAACCTGCAGAATGTTTATACATTATTATGTCACTATGAAAAATCTGCTATTGAAAAAGGTAGTAATTTAAAATGGCTAAAATGACAGAATAGAAAGATTGCTTAAACTTAGAGGAAGCCAAAAAACTGCTTTCAGGTATCCAAAAACTAATAAAATTAATTCAGTAAAAAGCACCAATACATAGTTTTTACCAGCAATGTGCTAGGAAGGAAATAGTTTTAAAGATAAAGAAAGATGTGTAACATCACTTATTTATAATACTATCCTTCTTAACAGGAAGACCAAGACATGCTTTACGTTGTAAACATGTAAATTAAGAAAGTTCCAACTTCTTTGTTTGTGTCTTTCAGTATTGGATATTGAACCCAGGGGCTTTGCACAAAGCTGCATCCCCAGCCCTTTAATTTTTTTTTTTTTTTTTTTTGAGACAGGTTCTCGCTATGTAGCCCAGGCTGGCCTCAAACTCATGGCAATCCTCCTGCTTCAGCCTCCTGAGTGCTAGAATTACAGGAGTGCGCCACTGTGCCCAGCCAGCAAGTTCTAACTTCTTGACATTCATTTACAATTGACAATGAAAAATTCCTAACACTTTTATAGATAAGTGAGGGGCTTTTTCTTTCCTGTTCTTTCTCTCTAATACTAAGCCCTAGCTTGACTTGAGTTCAAGAAAGAATAGGAAAGAAAAGTTTTTGATCCAACAAAGGCAATTAAACAGATGTACGCAGATACTTAATTGATTACATCCTTACACTGGTAAAGGACATAATTCAGTCTGATGAGGGTTTTGTTTGAATTGTATTTTGGAAATTTTTACATAATTTTTATATAATCATTTTTATCAAACTCTCAGCCATTTCTTTAAATAAAATTGGATTTTCTGGAGTTAGAAATTGCTTAAATTTTGTTCGAATCGATTTTCTTTCAACTTTATAGTTGTTTTGATGAACCTACTTGTACAAGTTATGGAAGGAAAAACTATAATCCAAATAAATACATGTTAACATTTTGCCTTTAGCCAATAAGAAGAAAGAGAAAGAACGCCCAGAGATCTCTCTTCCTTCAGACTTTGAGCATACGATTCATGTGGGGTTTGATGCAGTCACCGGGGAATTCACTGTAAGTAAGCTCCTTGTTTCATTCTGTAAGCCCTAAAAAAATCCCTTTGTGAAAATAGGTTCCATGCAAGAATGACCATGTCCCATAATGTCCAACTCAATTTTTTGATGATTGCAAGCAAAGTGGGCTCTGACTAGACAATCATAGATGGAAACAGAAGGTGGCAACAACATAGGCAAAATTATTTCGTCCATTTGAACAAAAATTCTTGATCACTGTATACTCTTCAGTTTCAGTGAAAATATTAATTTACCCTGGCACAGAAAATGTAGTTCTGGTAAGGAGACCCTACCTGAGCCTATTCTTTATCATGAGAAGTAAATTGGAGAGAGTCATCTTCTCAAATTGACCAGTGAAGACAAACTATCTAAATCATTCAGGTTTTACAATGGGACCTGAATTACCCAGATCAGCTAACCACACTAATTGAAAATCTCTGTAAAATTGGTTTGATCTTCCATGTGATTTCAAAAACACATATTTTTTTTTTTTTTTTTAGGATTATTAGTGGGTATATTTTGTAGACATCTTCCAGAAACAAGTCCCATGTTTCTGGAAGAAATACTGATGAATATGTCATGTATGCTTTAGTGCTTACTTTGAGGATACATATATAATATGAATAATTCATAAGAAATACCAATAACAATTATTTGGATAGATCATCACTATAGGTCAAGGCATTCTTTGAATATTTGTAGTGCTCATGTAACACAGAACCTCAGATGTATCACGCCATTTGATACCTATTTTTAAATGGGTACTTTCTTTTTTAGATAGGAGAGGGATAAGGTGGTGCTACAAATATGTCCCTAGGAATCTCAACTATTTTTTTCTATTCTATTAAGAAGCTCAGTTAAAATGTATATTCTGAAATAATGAGTAGTTTTGAATAAACTCAGAAAAAATCTTTGATAGGACCATCAACATCAATTCCTGGTTTATTAAACCTGAGAGATATATAGATATTGAATGTATTTCCTGCCTCCAAACAAGGCGGTTAGTGAGCAGACAGTGTCAGATGCCTAAGTGGAAAAAAGCAGGAGCGAATCAGTCTGATTTATAGAGGTAAACCATGTAGCTGAATGGACAGCCAAGCTGTCTGATTTGCTTAACTCTGGAAGTAAGCAATAAGAATAAAATGGAAACAAAGTAAACATCTGGCCCTCCTAAAGTTGTGTAAGCAGATTATTTCTGCATTCTCCATAGGAAACAGAAGAGAATGTAAGAATTCATGCACTGTACAATGGAGATAGTATTGAATGAATTTCATCATCAGAGTTGGAGACGTTATTCAAATGCCCTTGAGTTTGAACACAGCCTTGTTATTTCGTCAGAATGTTCCCTTAGCTCTGTTGAGAAGCTGTAACCCTGCTCTCGATACTACCACCATCATCCCCAGTAGATAAAAGTGATTTTTTATCATGTGAAAAATTTTATATGTTTAAATATCATAAAGAAAGAGATTTGTAAGTATTTTTCTGAAATTTGGAACAAGAAAATCCTTTAAATTGTATAGAAGTTTTAACTAATAACTTTTATCTCTTTATTTTTAAGAACTTTGTGTTACCAGTTTTGACCTTTTCTCCCCTGTGCTTCTCTTTTGTTTAAATGTCTCATCATTTATTGTTGGCATTCCACATTTTCATTTCTTTTTTTTTTTTCTTCTTTTTGTTTTCTGATCTGGAAATCTTCTCTGGTTATACCACATGACATTCTGCTTCTTTTTCAATATTTTATTCTTTCTACATTTTTCCAACTTACTTGACATCTTATGATTCAGTCTATCTTCGGCTCTTTTCTTTGTTCTTCCTGGGTTCTGAATGGAAATGAAGGAAGGTGACTCATCACCATCTCGCTGACTACAACACCAGTCACTTCATTTTGTTATTTATTAGAACCCAGTGAGTCAATCAGAAACGGATGGAGTAAGATATGTGATTGGCATTCTTTCCAGTCATGAAAAATATAATTTGATGCAGTCCAACCAAAGCAAACAAGCCTAAGCCCCAAATCAATATGAAGTAAAATAGCTGTTTGGAATACAAATACAAATTTAAGATACATAGATAGATGGATAGGTAAATAGATAGATAGATAGATAGATAGATAGATAGACAGATCGGTAGAGCTAAATTTAGAAATCTGAAGGGCTTTAATTGTCTTCTTGATCTTTTGTAACTACTTGTCAACACGTTATATCTAAAGATGCCAAATTCTGCCTTTGTTTAACTCTTAACCTGTGATTTACATGTACTATGCTATTATGTTTAACTTTTAAAATGCCAAATGATAATAAGCTTTTTAAAAATCATTATATTTGTGGGGTTTAGAATTGAGTCCTAATTGCAACAGTATCATTAAGTCTTTGTGTTTTTGGGGGGGTGTTTACTAAATTTGATTATTGTGATTGTCTAGGTTGAAGTTTGAGCAATTTGTTGAATTGTCTTAGCCAGTTGTCTTATAAAGTTCTGCTATTCTTAATTTTGGAAACTTGTTTGGTGTACTGTTTGGTGATTACACTATGGCTAATTGGCCCATAAGATCTTGAATACCTGGTTATATACTTGGACCTTAAAGCTAAAATTTCATTGGATGGTGAGATTTTCAGTATAAAATTATTACAAGTCCTTATCCTTTGTATTGCCATTTTTGTCCCAAATACTTTAGAATTCCCCTTTCCAGACCTCTAGACCTGTGACGGTCGCTTCAAGTCAATCAGAGGGAAAAATGGTATGAGTGATATAAATTATCATTTCTTATGATATGATAAATGCTTGGCCTGTTATATCATGCTGCCATTCTCCTGGACTACACTGGATAATCCCCAGTTTGATGTACATATACTCGTTATCTTATATATGGTCAGGCAATGATATGTGCTTCTGCTTCTGATGGTTAAACTCGCAGGTCTCTATTAGCTGTCTGAGTTTGGGGATTGGTGTGTCAACCTGGAGTCATGAGATGGCTTTCTGATTATGTGCCTTTGTGGCATACATTGAAATATGAGTGTCAGGTTTCATTGATAAGCTGGCTTGTCTCAACCTAGAGAAACAGAAATTAGGTCAGCAGTGTAGTCATATGGTAAGTATACTTGTCTGGAGGATGTTCTGCAGTTGACAGCATTTTTTGCTGCTGTCTAGTGATATAGCCCAACCAAAAGTTTATTTATCATAAAAGTTTCAAAGTGCCATTAGGGTGTATAATATCTCCAAATATTTGAATGATTATGGTAATGATCATGCCAGTGAAGTCTGCTTTGGTGGTTATGTGCAATGCATACCTGGATTTGTAACACTTAATAACTCCTTTGGCCAGTACAGTATTAACCAAATGCTATTAATTGCTCCTAGAATCAGAACTGGGATCATGCATGGGCTCCTGAGTTCCAATTTTTGGCTTAAGGCTTTAGCATCAAACTGCGTGATGAATGCATGTAAAACTATTGCTATACTGTGCTTGGAGTAACCCCAAATACCAGGAATCAAGGAACTATATCCCAAATTAAACCAGTTGGGCCAAAGCATGTTTCTGTAGCATTTGAGATATCTTTATTTAGACAAAACTTTTACCTTATATCTGACTTTATTTTGTGGAAAGTGGGATTTTGGTACTGTAGCTTTAAAATGGAGATTATTCATATATGTTTTGAAATAAAATGGCTTCCTTTTCCCTGGTCTAAATGTATGAGTCACTTCAACATAGAGGCTGGCTGTGTAGGAACATCCCCTTCCTATTTTTCTCTAAGCCAGCCATGACTTTAGCTACAAAATGCAGAAGCACGTCAATGAGAACAAAAATTCAGCATTGCCATATAGCTGTCCTTTGAGCTTTAGCCACATAGCCTCTTCCAGCGTGAAATTGAAATTGGTTAACCAGAATTGGGAACTGAAATTTGTAAGTTCATCACATGGCCATTGGCTACTTGTGATCACCCAGTTATGAAAACAACTTACAAATTATTGTCAAAGCTTTTCATGATGCCATCCTTCTTCCCTCCAAATTCATGTTTCTGCTTTTAGTAATTTCTCCAATCATTTAATGGTAATTCTTACTATTGCCTATTTACGGAGGAACCATCTAGCCAAAAGTGGAATTATACATCCAAACTTTGGAACATTATCATTTTCTCTGTGCTCTTAAATCTGTTGTCCTGTAGACTGTCCAGACCCTGATTTAGTTAATACCTCCCTATTTTCATAACCGCCCCACTTTAAAAGGGATTCCCCCCATTCAGACCCATTGGTTTCATCTCCTCCCACCTTCTAAGTTGTCCCACATTCTGTTTTAACTTTCTTTTCTTTCTTTATTTACGTCCATTACAGCCAGATCTCTATGGCTCACAGATGTGCCCAGGGAAGCTCCCAGAGGTGCGTCACAGGCCCAAAAGAAGCTTGCATCAAAGTGCTTCTTTGAGATGTCATAGCACTGCAGAAGCAGGTTCATGTGTGTGCAGTAGAGTTGTTGCTTGGCTTATCTCACTTTTTTGTTGTCATTCCCAAACTCTGGAGGCCCACGTCACACATTGTTTTGCCGAGACTTCATAGGACAAAGCCTCTTAAATTGTGTCCGGATGCACTTCCGGAATAGTGTGTCTGCTTCTCTCTCCAAGTCGTTCTTGGAGGTTGGATAATTTTGAAATGGGGACATCTGTAGGTTGAACTTGTAGGAAAGAATGTTGAATACTCAATGCAAAACTAACCTCTGTTTAATTTTTGCAATTCTCCTTGGTTAGATTGCCAAATACTCCTTCCTCTCTGCTCTAAATGCTTCAAATTATTGCAAATTCTCACAAGGCTTTGGCATGGTTCTCATGTCCCCAGGTTTTATGTGACCAGTAAATGAAGTGGGGAGGAAGGGATGGAGGAGCAGAGGAGGGCATGCCTGGAGAAAGCTGCAGTGGAAATCCCCAAAGCAGCATTAATGTTAGTATTTAGCATCTCAGTGGTTATTGCTCCTCCACAATTCTATTTTTGTCTCCTCCCAATTTGGCTTTACATTAAAGCTCTAGACCCAAAAATTACATTTTGCAATCACAAAGTATAAACTGATCAAGGGTGAGGTTTTCCTTTTATTCTAAAACGTATTCTGATTACAGCATGCCCAGAAACAGCTTGTTATTTCAGTAGCAGAAAACCATTGATATGCACGATACTATGCTGTGCACAAATTTAGAGAAGTCTTGCTATGTCTGCCCTGAGTCGCCAGAAAAAAATAAGCTAAGCTATAAACATCATTTCATGGATGAGCAGAGTCAATATGGAGGTGATTTTCATGCGCTTTTTTTTCAATCACAGTCATACTCCCACCCACCCTTTTTAAGTTGGATCCTAGTTTTACCTATGTGTTTTAATTAGAGAAGAGAATGATTGCATTATTAAGTTACTAACGTTAAATCCAGAATGTAACTTCAGTTTCCCAAGTGTAATCCTACAGGTAGCATGGGCTTCTTGGTGAAGAACTTTACTGGAATGTGAGCATGCTGCTGCCTAATGTTCTGAGCTCCCGTTCTTTCCCTTTGGTTGTCTACAGGGAATTCCTGAACAATGGGCACGATTACTCCAAACCTCCAACATAACAAAATTGGAACAGAAGAAGAACCCACAAGCTGTGTTAGATGTTCTCAAATTCTATGATTCCAAAGAAACTGTCAACAACCAGAAATATATGAGCTTTACATCAGGAGGTAAGAGAAATTTTAGAGTACTGAAAACTGAAGAATTGGAAGGAAGGAAAAAGAAAAAAAAAGAAAATAGAAGGAAAAAATGGAGACAAAGCTTCTGTAAATAAGGAGGGAAAGAAAGGTTGAAGGGAGGGGAAAGAATTGGAGGAAAAAGGAGAATCAAAATATATTATGTACAGGTACACATTCCCTATTATGAATGTGGTTATTATGTGTATCTAAAATGTACCAATGAAATTAATTTTTAAAAAAGAAAATTGAAGAATTCACTCCAATCTCAGAGTCTCATGATTAAAATAAAATGTCTGTGGAACATTTGAAGTCAGTTCTATTATATTCTTCAAATGTGCTCAGTATAACTAACGCAAAAGATGACTTAGAACCTGGAATTGATCACAAGAGTTACATACTCATTGGGTGTTTTTAGAGCCCAAATAAGGAAATTGTTCAGTGAGCCCATAGGGGTTCGCTTCAGTCAGCAATTGCAGCTGTTTGGTCTCTTCACTGAGGTGAAGAGCTCAGTCACTGAGGATCAGGAAGTAAGAAACAGATGAATTAAACCACAGTCTCTTGAAATTTATCCCATCGGTACATTGATTTGCACCATGATGATGTGAAACAGATTGTTGATTGTCAGGTTATTTTCATCATATTTGAAAATGAGACTAAAGAATAGAAACCGTGACTTGTTATTTACAGTGATTGAAATAGTCATGTGACTGCCAAATCATGCCTTCATTTGCCTATGTGTAGAGCTGGCCTTTGTTTGGGAATTTGATATTTAAATTTGCACTATAAGCAGCCAAAACATATCTCAAATAATACTTTTGCATTTTTTTTGTACTGGAAATTGAACTCGGGACCTTGCACTTGCCAGGCATGTGCTTGGACTGTTGAGCTATACCTCTGGCTACTTTTACATTTTGAAAAATATGATTTATATTGTGTCTCTAGAACAACTTATTTCATGTCTGAAGAGAGCAGGGAATGTTATCAACAGCACCCCAGCTACAAAGAGCTCCTATTGATTGGCATCAGACATTATGTATGGCCAATTTGAAGTCTGTTTGAGAATCGTACAAAAAGACACTTGCAAGGAGAAGTGTGTCTGATTTGGCCAGATCAAATATCAAAGCTGAACACTGAAGATATGTGACAATTCACATGCTAATTGGGACTTTTTGATTTGATATTAGCTATTGCCCCATGTTGAAAATCTAATAAGAAGCCCATCAAGGCTAATTTTTTATGCTAGTTTTCCATGTGGAATTAAATGTCTAAGAAATCCTGCTGACATATAAAACAATATTTAATATGAGGAAATCAGGAGATGTGCTTCAACTTACAATCATAGGTGACCAGAACCAAAAATGCATTCAAGAAATCATTTCAGCATACCCACTGATACCCTTGTTTCCCAAGGAGTAGCCACTGCTGTTTTAACACTTTTATTTTTATATGTTAAGCTTTCTTAACGTACAGAGATCAGCTGCTGACAACCATATTAAAGCTCAACAGTATCTGAGCTATTACACTATATTGTGCTGAATGAAACTTACCACATTGTTCTCTGAATGCTCTAATCTTGAAACTGACTGTATAGGGGGTCAGGGAGAAGAGGAGAATCAGAAACGAAGGCAGAAGGAAGGAATGGAAAGGAGGGAGAAAGCAGAAAAGAGAGAGAGGAAAGGAGAAAAAATCCCACAGTACAGATGTATAGACTGATAATCAGGAAAAGGTCAGCTCCACATTCCTCCATACAGATGAGATTCACTTCCCTAAGGTTTTTATAATGACTTGGTGAGAAGATGGTGAGGATGGAATGGTATAAGCTATTTTAAAGAAAAAATAATTATCATTTGTCATATCTATTTCATATTAAATTGGAGAATTTATTCTTGGTCCAAGACATGCAGGGTCTTGGTTTGCTTATTTTTCTGGAGGATTTTTGTTTGTTTGTTTTTGTTTTGTTTTATTAGTATGCCTGTAAATGAGACAGCCCACATGAAACAAAGGTGACCTCTTTATTCTCACTTTTCAGATAAAAGCGCACATGGATATATAGCAGCACATCCTTCAGTAAGTGAAAAATCAAAACCTTTCTCATGATTAAAGTTTTTTTAAGATCCAACAGAACATAACTGCATTTTTCCTATTTTTAGATATAAAATCCTTTCAAAACAGTTTTAAAGGTAATAATTTAGATAGAAAAGTTTACCTGTTTTAAGGGTACAATGAGCTTTAGTAAATTTATATTATGTATGCTATATATTATATATATATATATGCTACTCTCAGAGTAATCAAGTTTTAGAACATGTCCAGAACCCCAGCAAAATCTCTCTTGACTACTTAAAGTTAACCCCTCCCTACTGTTACCCTAACTCCTGGGCAAGAACTAGTCTGGTTTCTGCCTTCAAGACTTGCCTTTCTGGATATTTCATGTAAGTGAAATAATGCATTATATGACTTTCTGGTATTGGCTTTTTTTACTTAGCATAATTCTTTCAGAATTCAACCAAATTGTTGTGTACATCAGTAGATTGCTTTTCTTATCCCTGAGTAGTGTACCATGGTATAATTGTACCACTGATTGTTTGACTATTCACTCATTATAGATTCTCTAAACTATTTCTGGTTTTAGGCTATTATCAATAAAGCTACCATGAAAATTCATGTTCATTTGTCTTTATGTGACAAATGTTTTTAGTTTTTTTATGTGTAGGATTTTGAAAATAATCATATTAATAGGAAATTCTCTTTATTGAACACAGAAGGTATATGTCCAGCATGGGCTAATATTATTTTTATATTCACTTAATTTTCCCTACAATTCAATTAAGTAAGACATACCATTGTCCTCAGTTTATAGATGAGGAAACTGAGGTTTAAAGAGATGAACTTATTGTTCTAATTTCTGACATTTAGCTTTCTACTGTTATTTGTTCAAACAAACTAAGATACATTGAGGAAAATGAACTTTTCCCAGTCACATGCTTTTCATCGGAAAACCAACTAGAAAATGTATAAATTAGTCTTTGGAAGTACTGTGTTATCTGAAAGAATACCCATGTACATTGGACAAAATGAGCTCAGACAGGATTTCCTTTTCTGTGGATTTTCATTTTGATATTCTGATAAAAACTATTCCTTGTCTCATTTACTTCCGTATTGGTGTAATAATTGGAATTAGTGAAAGTCTACTAACCATTTATTCAGGATTATGGATAGCCAAGTCAATTTTTTCTTCTCATAGATGATAAATACTAACCTGCCTGACATCATCCTGGCCAGCTAGTGTGACAACAGTAGATTAATAGTGGTAAAATGTAAAGGCTCTGAAATGGTGTGGGACTTCTTCAAAAGTTAAAAAATAGAATTACCATTGATTCAGCTGTTCTGTTTGGGGTATATGTACAGAATTATAAGCAAAGTCTTGAAGAGATATTATACACATGTTCCTAGCAGCAGTATTCACTATTCATAGCTAAAAGTTAGAAGTAACTCAAATATCCATCAATGGATGAAGCAATAAATAAGATGTTGTACACACAAATAATAGGATATTATTCAATCTTAAAAAGCAAATTCTAACACATGATACAATATGTATGAACATCGGGAAGTTTATGCTGAGTGAAAGAAGCCAATCACAAAAAGACAAAGACTGCATGATTCCACTTATATGAGATACATGGAGGAGTCAACTGTGTAGTGAAAAAAAGGTAGAATGGTAGTTGCCACAAGTTTAGGGGCAAGAAGATGGGGAATTATTTAATGGGTACAGAATTTCAATTTGAGAAGGTGCAAAGAGTTCTGGAGATGAATAGGGGTGACGGTTGTAAAACAGTGTGAATATTCTTAATACCGCTGAAATATACACTTCAAATGGTTCAGATGCTAAGTTTTATGTTATATGCATACATTTTTTTCCCATACTTAAAAGTAAAATGAAAAGGAAGACGGGAGTGTGGTAGAGCATATGCTTTTTGTTTTGTTTTGTTTTGTTTTGTTTTGTTTTGTTTTGTTGCGGTACCAGAGATCAAACTCATGACCTTGTGCTTGCCAGGCAGGCACTTATGCCATTGAGCTATATCCCCAGCCCCCCATTTTGGTTTTTTTTTGTTTTGGTTTGGTTTTTCTTTGAGCATATGCTCAACATGCATGATGCCCTGGATTCAATCCTCAGCACAGGGGTAAAAGAAGGGAGGGAAAACAGAAGGAAAGGAAAGGAAAAAAGGAAATGCAAAAATAACAACAGAGCAAATAGAAAAGAAAAAAGGAAATGAAAGGAAAGAAAAAGAAATGAAAAAATGAAAGCAAAGATTTGGATATAGGTGTTTAATCTGATTCCTCTACTTACTGGCTGTGTGACTTTGGGAAGGTAGCTTAGCTTCGTTGAGACTTTTTCCTCAATGTTAAGTGGCAATAATGACAGAATCAACTTTCCAGGACTTGTGTGTATATTAAGTGTGATAATAAATATAATGTACTTAGTATAGTACCCAGTACATAATATATGTTTATTAAATATAAACTGTTCATATTTTTTCTATGGCAACAAGAGCAAAAGCTAGCTCTCTCTACATATGCAGCTTGTCTGAGACTAGGCTTTGTGTCTTGTTCAGATTCCCCAAAATAGAATAGAATATGACTCTCTTACCCAACCTTCATTTCCCCTCCTGTTTCTTTGCCATGACAACTTCATGGGATACACCAAAAATAACACAAAAAAGAAGGAAATAGGAAAGTACTAAAGAATGCTGACATTCCATGATCTACACATACTTTACCTTCTTTAACCTAATTAATATCACACTTGTGCAACCCTGGTTGAGTATCTTAGGAAAGAAATCACTATTAATTTTGTCCGTCAGTTATTTTAAACACCAACCTGTAGGATGATCGCTCTGGTTTTCATTTTCTCTTGAAATATAAAGTGATTCTTTTGAGATTGATTCCCTTGGTTTTTTATTATGGAATTGAAGGTAGCTATCCATAATGGCCAAAATATTCAATTAAATCAAACAAATGATGACCATGCTCTGTAGAAATAAAACAAGTAGATATTGACTTGTTTTATATATTTATAAAATGCCTCCTTTTTAAATAAGACTTAGGAGGTCTGGAGTTCACCCTTATAGAGGAAGGTAAGTACGAACATAGAGAAGTACAATACAATACAGATAGTATGGAACACCATTAACTTTGGCCATTTGTGATGCGAGTTCAGAAAAAAAGATTGCTTTAAGCTGGGGAGGGAAAGAGAAGTAGGGCCTCGTCTTCAAGAGCTTAGGCTCAGTGTTTGGTACGACATAGGCACTTGATGTACATTTATTGAGTGTTAAGTTAGAAGATGTATCATATAAATGCTGCCATTTTAGTTAGATCTTAAAATCTAGATGAGATTTGTATCTGTGAAGGTGGGAGAGCACATTCTAAGCAATACAAAAAGTGTGAGAAAGGGAAGATTGGTGAGGAGATCAAGGAACAAGGGGTGTAGATTTAAATGACGACTGACACAAAAGCAAAGGAATCATAGGGATTAATTCTCAAACCTTAAATTGGAACCAAGCCCTTAAATGCTATTCTAAGAAATCTGACCTTTCCAGTATGCAGTGTGAAGCCCTTCAAGTGTTTTCAAACAGGGCAGTAAGTGATTAAAGCTTATGCTATGGGAATCAAAGGGTAAATGTCCACAATGAACTAGGAACAGAAAGAGATAAGATGAAAGGAGATCAGTTGGGGAAATATTGCAAGTCTCCAGGCCAGAGATAATGAGGGCCAGAGGTGAGATATAGTGGCAATAGGAATAAAGACTAGGTTCAAATTCTATAGATGTTTATATCATTGATTGACTGTTAGAAAGAAGAATGGGCTCAAAGTTTACTGTAAGCTTAAAGTGGATAAAAAAGATATGGATATTATCTTTCAGGAGAATCAGGTCTCCACTGGAAATCGCTGTTTCCTATTGGACAGTTTAAATATGAAACTAGGTAGGAGGAGTATTTTGAGGGGAATGCATGATAGTGTGTCTCTTACTATAATACATTTTTTTTAAATTAAACTTTCACAATATTTTTCAGTCACATTGCGTATAGATGCCTAAATACGAAAAATAGTCTCTAGTAGATACTTAAACTTCAATATATAAACCACTCAGCATCTGTATCAGGGAGGTCAAATATTCTTTTGTTTACTGATCAATGAATTCTACATATTGTTCCTTCTCACAATAGCGAAATCTAGCTGGCTTCACATAGATACACAATTACATCTTACTACTCTATTTCAAGTATTTACATGATTATAGGAAATCCATATTAGATTTTTAACCACAGACTGAGGTCATTCAATGTAATAAGTGTTAATTGTATGCTTATAACTGCTTTAGGAGCTTTGTTCTCAAAGAATGAAAATTAATGGTAGTATTGTCTTGGAAAGTACACCCAATGGCACAAACAAAAAAATAAATAAATACAAAAAAGCAAAACATAGAACAAAACAAAAATAATAGCACTGTCTCATAATATAACTGTCCAATAGAAATATAATATAAAATATATATAACTAAATTTTCTAAGAGGCACATTAAAATCCAAAACAAGAACAAGTTAATTTTAATAATATACTTTTACCTCAGTACATTGAAAATATCACTGCAATATAAATAGAATTAATGGAATATTTTACAATTTGTTCCTATCAGATATACAATGTCAAAGATGATTTTTACATTTGTAATACATCTCAATTCAGACTAGCTGCATTTTAAATGTTCAATAGCCATATATGGTTAGTGGCCGCCATATTGGATACTGCAGATTTATACAGTTGATAGTTGATAGTTTTGACACCTGAACATGCATCAGTATTACCTGTGAAGTGTTTTATAACACAGACCACTGTACCCTACTTTCAGCATTTCTGATTCACAGGTTTAGTTGGAACGTGAGAATTTACAGTTATAAGTTCCTTGACAGTGTTAATTTAAGAACTACACGTTGAAAACTATAACCATATTTCTTTCAAAATCCAACTTTGGAACCATTGTGCCCCTTGCATTAATGTGAATGATCAAGAATAGGCCCTAGGTACCCTGATGGTTGTTAATTTGGTAGTGTTATTCCACTTTACAAATAATTGCAAATTACTATTAACTTATAGGTTAATGCTGAGCAATTATTTATGAAGATAGGTATTCCTTAGATCTTCAAGCCTGTTACTATTTGAGTGCTTGTTTCCAGGAGGCTGAACAGGGAAGAAACATTCATTGGCTTACTAGTTCTTAGTGAGTATTTGCAGAGCTGATTAATACCATATCCATGGGCATGCTCTGACCTTTAGACGGAAAGTAACCTTTTCCAAACCAACAAACTGTCAGGCAGCAAATTGACAGTGTACTCAGTACAGATTCAAGGATTTAATGTCAATTTATTTTAATGAATTCATTGATTTCAATAACATTGAACTTTGAAATATTAAGTGAATAAATATATCACTGCTTTTTAGCTCAGTGAAAATTAAAAATAATTGTTTAGATTTTATGGTCATTTCAACCATGACATGAATTTATTTGTGAATGTAAGCAAATGCTGGCACCAAATTATAGATGGTCCTGCTCCTTTGTAAAAGACGTTGTTCCCTCCTGTCCCTGCATGCATAAAGGTTTCATTCCTATAGAAAAACAATGAGTAAATATCTGATATTGAAACGTTTTTCTCCCAAGAGTACAAAAACAGCCTCTGAGCCTCCTTTGGCTCCTCCTGTCTCTGAAGAAGAAGATGAAGAAGAGGAGGAGGAAGAAGATGACAATGAGCCCCCACCCGTTATTGCACCAAGACCAGAGCATACAAAATCAGTAAGTCACAAGTCACTATTTCTAAATGATTCAAAAGATGCCCTTTGGAACATAGAATACATTTAATGAACTGGTACCTACTGAGTATCTCCTTTGTTGCCAGAACTAGAGTATCTGATGCAACCCTGGTTTTGACAGTTCTTTTCAAGGATACTAAATTATCACATTAAATAATTAGACAATAATATCAAAACACAACGTAAACAGCTACTAAGGTATAAAACTACAGCAAAGTGAAGGTAGAGAAGGAAATCCATGTGAACCAGACAGGAAGAATTGCATAGGCATAGGCACCAACACCCGAATTAATAGGGCCACATATGGGGACCTCTAAGGACTAGCTGTCAAGCTGTACCAGTGGCACTTGAATACTTGAAAGTACTTTAAATTCTTCTTAAATAGATAATAACTTACCTTTGAAAACTCATTGATATGACAATACCTTGATGCCATACATTTGTACTTTTTCTTTGGCCTCCTGTATTAAGTGCAGGACTTTTTTTTTCCTTTTAGATCTATACTCGTTCTGTGGTTGAATCCATTGCTTCACCAGCTGTACCAAATAAAGAAGTCACACCACCCTCTGCTGAGAATGCCAATTCCAGTACTTTGTATAGAAATACAGATCGGCAAAGGAAGAAATCCAAGATGACAGATGAGGAGATCCTAGAGAAGCTTAGTGAGTTTTGGGAGTTTTGAAAATTTTTTTTGCCATCATTACTTTCTTCATGAGACGGTTTCTCAAAAATCATTTAGAGCAGAATTTATTCCGTAGAAGTTTGAATCTGTATGAACTCCAGGTCACTTGAATCATGAGATGAAAAGTGAGGGACTGTGTACCAGGTCATTCCCACTCTCACACTCCTAATTTGACAGAAACAAAGTATTTTCACCTGAAAAAGTCAATTAAGGTGAAAATTTGACAAAGTGTATTCAGTAGTAAGTTTTAAGCGTGTATCTACAAAAGAGATGAAATGCTCTGATGAAATACGATCACACTACAAGGGCTCCAGCTGATGGATCATGATGGAAAAGTCAACTTCATACCCAACGTCATCAATCAGAACTTGCAACCACAAATAATGTGGCCTTTCCCCTTAATTTAGAAGCATTTCTACGTGGGGAGTGAGGCAGAGTCAGAAAACTCTAGCAGTCTCCTGTCTCACTGGTCTGTGTATGCTTTCATACCCATACTTGTTGCCCCAGTTTCACAGAAACATTCATGCTAGTCAGTGTTCTTTGTAAAAAGATTTTTTAAAAAATATGTTCTCTGCTGAAAAGAGTGAAAGCCCTGAAAATCATGTCTTAAATTCAGTTAAAATTGCTAGAGATTAGCAATCAATGCCCCCACTTCAACTAACTCCTACTCATTCTTCAAACCTCAGCTCAAAAATTTCCTCCTCAAAGATTTCCTTGCCTCTCCCAATCTGAGTTAAGAGCCTCTCTTCTTTATTACCTTTATCATAATAAAAATGACATCGTATGTCTCCTTTGCTAGTCTATGATCACAGCAGGAACTATGACTTTTGTTCCTTGTATGTCCAGCTCCTAGAAAGAGTCAGTTATATGAAGGTTCTCATAAATGCTCGTTGAGAATGTAGTGAGTTCCCAGGGTCTGCTCTCTATGCAAAAAACCTTTAGAGGACACAATGGAAAGATCATTCTCTGTCATCAAGAAACATACAATTGTCTTTGAAAGATACAATTTAATAAAATAATACAATTAGAGAATAAGAGGCTCTTTCTTTTAATATAGTTGTTTAATGTAAAAAGATCTGAGAAAAACAAGAGCAGTTCCACCTTCCAGCCACAGGGAGGCTCTACAGAGGCAGTGTTAAGACCACTTTGTCCTCCAGGGCATGTCTGACTCTGTCTAATGACAGTGTTTATAGTCCCAATTCAGAAAGGGTCACCACATCCTGTGGATAGAGGTTAAGGGCGCTCCTAAGCATCCTACAGCACACAGGATACCTCCCTTCCCTTCCCTTCCCTTCCCTTCCACAACAAAGTATTTTTCAATTCAAAAGGCCAACAGTCCTGAATTTGAGACATTTAGAGCTGCAGGGATTTGGAAAGGCAAATGTTGAGGTCAGTGGGTCAGCTGTCAGTGAGCACTCCCAACTTGAATGCCTGGACTTTATAAAACTGACTTTACACGATTAAATAGCCTTTCAGCAACCATTTGCTGAATTAACAACCATAATAATTCTCATTTACCAAGTACTGTCTATGCTTGCCACTTTACATACATTATCAGGGTTAATTTTTTCAGTCATCCTGGTAGTAGGTTGAAGGTCCTCATTTTACAGATCACTGAAAGCAAACTTTAAAAAATTTCAGTAACCAAGTCACCAACTAATGAATGGCAGAGCCAGAGTTTAACTTCACATCTGTCTACCTTCAAACCTTACACTTTTCCTATTACCCACTTTGCTTCTGCAATTCCTAACTATTCATATAAAATAGAAAGATGAACTAAAACACCTGGATAATTTAACTTCAGCTTTTGAGACAACTGCCCAAATTTATTTCTATGTTTTGTACACATAGACGTGACCTATAAGATTATGTTTGATTTTTAAAGTCTTTGCAGCCTTATTTTAGTAAAAGTAACCACTATTTAGTATCTATTTTCAGTCTCAATAGATTTAGTATCATGAAAATGCACTTATACACCTTTTTAAAGTTAGTTGAGAAAGAAGCATTATTTTCCTGAACCAAAATCTTGCTTTGCTCATAAACTGTGGTAGTACTGGAGCTGTGGCCTTTATGATTTGTTTCTTATTCTGTTCTGCCTTGAGCAACATGACAAAGAGGAGAAAGCAGCAAGATAACATATTTATTAAGAATTAAGTAGTTCTTTTCTCTTTTGAACTTTCTCTCTGGGTTTAGAGAGAATCATTTTCCTTCTAGCCCTATGACTGCCAACTTTTACCTTGTACTTGTTGGTCTTGGCAGAGAACCTGCAGAGAAATAGGAAAGAGATTCTTAAGTAGTGGATCCAGGCCGAGCTACATTTCCAAGTCTGCAAGTTGAGCTTTTCAGCCCTTGCCCCACTATTTCCTTATCGATCCCTTCTCTCTTCCGCTTAAATACTGGCTAACCTTAGACAGGTCATTTTACCTGAAACTCGATTTCTTAGCTGTCAGATGGGAATACGGATCATAACTATATTTTAGAGTTTTGTCTATAGGATATATTTTTGAGTGCTCATATAGTTTAGAGAACAGTGAAAATCTGAAAACCCAGATTCAAATCACAGATCTTTTTTACTAGCAGTATCACCTTGATCCCATTATTTAACTTTTCTGAGCTTCTGTTTCTTCATTTCAAAAGTTTAGATCAATCCAGGCATAGTGCTGCAAGCCTATAATCCCAGCACTCCAGGAGACTTGGGAAGAAGAATTGCAAGGTTGAGGTCAGCCTGGGCAATTTATAGAGACCCTGCCTCAATAAGTAAATGAATACAATAAAATGGCTGGAGACGTAACTCTGTGTGAAGGCCCTGAGTTCAATCCCCAGTACCACTGAAAAGAAAAATTGAGATCATAATAGTACCAACTTCATACCTTTTGATAATCAAATAAGAATAATGCATGAAAAAAACCTTGTAAGTGTACCTAGCCCATAGTAGGTCCTCAATAAATGATAATTATTTAATTGCCTGAGTGTAAAGACTTAACAACATAATACAATGCAACAAGCTTTGAAATGAATCACAGCAAAATCTAAGTCAGCTGTGTGTCCTTAGGCACGTTTCTTAACCTCTCAACTTTAGTAACTTCATCTGATAAATGGAGATAATAATAGTACTTACATATCAGAGGTTTTGTGAAGGCTACATGGGTTAAAATATGTAAGACATGCAACATAAAAAATAGCATGAAATCATCCTACTTTTACAAAATGAAAGTAACTATATTTTTTAGTATAAAAAATGAAGGAATGGGGTCTTACAGTAGAACAGAATGTCAGAAATTGAAAATAATCTCGTATGTATGGTCCCTGTACAGAAGTCATTGGGAACCTTGGAATGAAGGGTGCCCCTGGAGTCTGGGGAAACAGTAGAAGCACCTGTGCTGGACGTGGGGAGTAGGGTGAGGGTGGATGGATGTAGACAGAGGAATGGCCATCAGTCCATAGCAAAGTGGACCCCACAAACATGAGGAAAAGGAAGCAGCAGCCTCTACTTAATCATCCTCACCTTCTGTCTTGGGGATCTAGTTGCCTGGAGGTGGGCGACCCAAACCACGGCTCACCAGGCTACTCATCTTCCATACCGATACCGGCTGTGGGGACCAAGCCAAGGCATCACGGGTAGCTGAAATGAACAGATCGGCTTTCAGTTTTACACTGACCGATAGCCTGGGTCCAGCTTGTTCACTATGCTCTGTCTGGGCCTGTTGAACAATAAAGAAACACCTACATTCTAGCGGACATTTTCAAAAGGTTCTGTCAGCAAAATTGGGCAATGCAGGAAATTTGTCTGCAGCCTCCCTCCTCTAGGGCCTCACGATCATCTACTCCGCCATGTCCTCCCCTCCTGCAGCATTCCCCACTCAAAACTCATTTCCCTAATTTTCCCTCAGATAGAACTGGCATTTAATTTAGAGAATTACTATGGTTTTTTTCCTCAGGAATCAAAACCTTCATTATGCTAAGGGGATAATCTTTAAATGGTGGAAGTTTAACATAGTTTAATATGTCAGAAAATATATTGATGGCCTTTCCTGCCACTGAAACCACAGCATGAATTCTATTTTCCAACACCAGAATTTAGTGATTTCTTAAAACCTTGTAGTTTAAAATGAATGATTGGTTTTCTAGTTCGGAAATTGCTGTGGCAGGAAATCGTTCTGACATTACTATCATCTTTTTTCTTTTGATTTTGATATGCTAAATTTCCCACCTTTTTCATACTATGTCATCATGTGTTTCCTTTACTTTTTTGTAATTTAAAAATGCAAATTATAATGACTTTGGTGGAAAGTTATAAAGCTTGTTTTATGACTGAGAATCGTAAACAAGGCCTCGTGTACATTTGCTTAACTAGCACCAGTAGATGGCAGCACATACTCTCCTGTGAAGGCTATGGGTGTGGGGATGCCATTTTATTTGAATAGCAGCTAAACGCAGGAGCAGAATCTCATCAAAATGGTTGTCTTTTGGTAATCCGCATGAAAGGATTTATTTCCAGGTGTTATTTTTTTCCCCACTTACCGTGGAACTAAAGGTTGAATAATTTACTGCCATAAAGCCTTTTTAACGAAACCCTGCCAATTGAAAGTGGTCATAATTCAGAAAGTAGCTTGGGCTGAAGTTTATTTGGTTTTGATCAGTCTATGAAAAAGAGTTTGTTCAGCAGCCTCTTGGTAAAACTGTCTTAGGAAACTATAAACTGCTTAACACAACTATGGTTTCAAGTAACTTTAAAAATCAGCTTTTTATTAAAAAAAAAAATGCTACAGGCACTTAACCATTAGTAACTGACCTGAAGCAAGATTGATTTCAACGATATAGAAATCTGCTAGACAATTTGAAAAATAAACTAGTAACTCAGAAATTGCTAATTTGGTGGAATTCTATAGATATTGCTTATGAAATATATATTCTTTGACCTACATTAAACTACAGGGTATTTAAAAAGGGAAATGCCAAATTTTGAGTTTAATTCAACAAATATTTAGTGAGTATCTGATATATTCCACACACAGCATTATGTGAGGAGGCAATAAGGATAAAGAAGTAAATAAGACGTACCTCTTACACTTAAGACATATTCTGAAAGAGATTGTGAAACCAGTAGAAATAGTACATATTAAAGATAGAGAAAAACAGCAAGAACTAAAGAGAGGAAAAATATATTAATGAGTCTGTATAGACTTTAGGGGAAAAGGGAGTTATTAACTTTATTCCAAGGGATCAGGGAGGGCTTCCTAGAGGAGATAATATCTAAGCTGATGAATGCGAGTTTGCCTGGAGAAAACATGGCAAGAACATTCCAGAAGACATGAAGGCATGTGCTTAAGAAATCTAACATATTCAGTATTACTTGAATAAAATGTTGGCTGTAGATGGATTTATTGGACTTGCAGGAGAGGCACCTAAACTCTTACATAGAAGCTGATCATGAGTTACAGGGAGTTTATTAGTCTAAACCTAAAGTTTTAGTAGTGAAAGATGAGATAGAGAATGAAGTGGCAGTGAGGTCATGAGGAACTTTGCATTCCATGCCAAGGGATTTGGGTTTTGCCCTTGGATGTTAGGGAGCCATCAAGGTATCCTAAACCAAAGAACCACATGATTTGATCAGATCTGTCCTTGGAGCACTGTGATAGAGGGCAGGGCCCTGAACTGGAATGAGCAGAGGCAGGAAACAGGAGTCCAGTTAGGACACTGTTGGAATGCCCAGGCGAAAGATGTGAACCTCACAAAAGCTGCAGTCATGAGGAAAAGATAAAGTCACAAGGTCTCCAAAAAGTAAACAGATAAAGGGTAGCAGGATGGGACGTGACAGATAACTGCATGGGGGCCGTTCAAATAAGGGATGAGTCAATCAGGACACTTTCAGCAGGCTACTGAGTGCATGAATTGACAGTGCCACTGACTGAGATTGGAAATAGAACAGAAACTGTATTTTTATAATTTAACCTAACTGAAACATGGACGTCCACTACTAAAAACAAAAGCAAATAACCCCAACAACCTGGTGAATAACTCATGAGTGAAGCATTTAATTGTTTTTCTCAAGGTAGACTGTCTATGTCCGTTATTAGATCTGGATTAAGTTGTTCACTAGCCTAGACAGTGGATCATTGTATAAATTAGCATGGGGTATTACTGGTAACACACAGTATCGCTCTTGAGTACATACATTTTTTTGGTACTGGGTACTAGGGATTAAGCAATTGCACTGAGCTGCATCCCCAACCATTGTTTTCTATTTTTTTTATGAGACAATATTTTACTAAGTTGCTCAAAGTTTCCTAGGCTGGACTCAAACTTGTGACCCTCCTGCCTCAGGCTCACAGAGTGCTGGTACTAAAGACATACGCCACCGCACCCAGCTTGAATACATATTTTATTATTGTTGTTTTCATTCACTTGGTCAATAAGTATTTGTTTAGTGGTAACCACTGTTCTAGGCACTGAGGTTAAAAAGATGAAAAGATGAATTTTCTGACCTCAAGAACAAGTCTCAGAAGGACCGGAAAAAGTCTCAGAAAAGACTTCACAAAGAACACTTTGAGGTTATATCTAAAGGATAACTAGTTCCGCCTGAATTAGATGATGGGAAAAAGAAGTGGGAAATGGGAAACCATATGCAAAGATTTATGCACTGGCTAGTGATGACATTACTGAGACTAAAAGAAGAAAAATGAAGGGGAGAGAGGAATGTAAGCTTAGACTGGGTAGGTAGGAGCCAGATGACCCTGGCTGGTCAGGGGCCTTCCCACACCCAGCTAAGGAATTTGATCCTGTAACAAGGGGACACTTTTGAGCTCAGGGTTGCTTTGGGAAACTGAGGAGTGGTAGGGAGGAACTGTTAACAGGTATGAGGTTTCTTTTGGGAATGATGAAATTTTCTAAAATCAGATCATAATGGTGTTTGCACACATCTATAAACATGATAAAAATCCATTGAGTTATACAGTTTACATAGGTGAACATCATAGTCGGTGATGCTGCCCAAGTGTTTGAAGCCCAAGTAGGGCCCTAGGTGTTCCAAACAGCATGACTCTCAGTTTTCACCAAACTCTGTTCTTCACCCTTAGCCCCCATTGCCCTAGACACTGAACCACGGGCAGAGCAATTTATCAATAAATATTTATCTGGCAGAACTGAATGTAGTATAGTGATCAACTTTACTCAAATTCAGAAAGATAATGTTTATATTAAATGGTGAACATAGTTTTTAAATGATGTTGTATGCTAAACTGTAACATTATATAAGAATATTATATTAATGTTGGGTTATAACCAATCCTTTTTTGTTTCCCGAACATCATCAATTTTGTGGGAAAGCAGCATGGGTTATTATTACTACTTTAATATATTGCAATTTGTCTTTTAAAATAAAAAGTAACATTTTCCATGTAATTTGTAGAAATCATGTGGGAGTATTTGTCTAATGTTTTTGTCATTGACTTTCTCATCTTTATTATTAAAGGGAAATCAATCTATTTTAATCTCTCCCCCACCAGGAAGCATTGTGAGTGTTGGGGACCCAAAGAAAAAGTACACACGATTTGAAAAAATTGGTCAAGGGTAAGTGATTGTTATTTGAAATATAGTCAACCAATGAGTCAAGGAAATGAGCACCAGCAGCATATTAAAATTTAGTAACAGTGTGGATTCCTGATAAATTATGCTGTGTATTTCCTGGATTATATTTGTGCGTTACATTCTTGATTTTGGCCTTTCCAGCTGGCAGACTAACTGATAATTAACCTAGGAACACATCCTGCTGGAATCTTCAGTACTGTTGAAATGGAAGTAAATTTTGTAAGGACATTTTTTTCCGCATATAGTTAACAGATTCAAACGGGTTTACCTAGAAAAGGAATGGAATTATAGAAACATCTGTCTTTTATGAAAACTTCTTTATCCTGCTCCCCCACAAACACACACACAAACATCCATACGCACAATGTAGTTAAGATTTAATTTCTTTATTACATTGGAAAGTGATAGAATGAGGGTGATGAAAGTCACATTGAATAACTCAACAGTGGGCCGATTTGACTGAGTACGGAAGAACCAGATCAAAACTACCTAAACAAGATGGGGTACATATTTTTCACATAGTATACGTGATAAGATAAAGATTTCCAGGCCTCTTTGCCAGATATTTGATTCAGAAATCTGGCATGGACTCCAGCAATCAGAATTTTGCAAAAGTTCCTCAGATCATCCTGATCATCAGCTTGACAAAGGAGTCACAGTGGTTGGTCATTCACTAGAGCTAAAGATAAAGGAGTCATCAGTTTTGCAAGTCAAGTCTAGTGAGCTATCTCTCTTGGGCCTCCATATGAGATTACACAGGAGGGTATGAGTAGGCAAAAATGTTGAAACAGGGAAAGGTTTTGTTTAAAGAGCTGTACTGAGCTGGAGATACAGCTTAGTGGCACAGCCCCTGCCTGGCAAGTGCAAGGTCCTAAGTTTGATTCCCATTACTAAAAGACAAACAAACAAACAAACAAAAAGAGCTGTAACTTTCCGAGTTCATACACAAAGCTCAACTCATTTCATTTGTGCACAAAGGTAAATAACATAATATGGGTAGAAAAGACAATATTACATATTAAGGGGGCTCAGAAAACAAAAGCCAGATTTTAGATGTTATTGTAATTTGGTTGGGTCTTAGGCAGAACTAACAACAAGCGAGAGACAGGTATGCCACTTACAAGCAGCACTCCAGGTATTTGTTGTTCAGTAGGTTGGCTATATTTAATTGTTGAGCACGTGAAATGTGGCTAGTCCAAACTGAGATGAACTGTAAATATAAAATGCACAACTAATTTCACAAAGTTTGTATGAAAAAAGTATATAAAACATCTCATTGATAACATATTGGTTACATCTTGAGATGATGAATATTTGCATGTGTTGAGTTAAATAAAATTAATTTCACTTTTTAAAAGCTTTTAAAATATAGCTCTAGGAAATTTAAAAATAAGACATGCTCTGTTGGTTTTTAAAAATATTTCTACTTTCTTAATTGACACAATAATTGTATATATTTATAGGTGAACATGTTATATTTCAACACGTAAACATTCATAATATTCAAATTAGTATATTTCTATCACTTGAAACATTTATCTATTACTTTTTTGTGCTGAAAACATTCACAGTATTTTCTTCTAGTTTTTTAAAAATATGCATTATATATATATGTATGTATATATATATTTTCTTTTTTTTTTTCTTTTTGGTCTTCTTGAGACAGGGTCTTGGTATGCAGTTCAGGCTGGCCTTGAGCTCGCTTTGTAGCCCAGGCTGGTCTTGAACTTGCAACAGTCTTCCTGCCTCAGCCTCGCAAGTGCTGGGATTACAGGGGTGCACCACGACGCCCGGCCTATACATTAGGTTATCATTCATTACAGTCATCATACAATGCAATAGAACAGCAGAATTTACCTCTCCTAACTATAGCTTAGTACACACCCATTGACCAATTTTTCCCTGACTCTCCTTCCCCTCTACTTGCCCTAGCCTCTTGGTAACTACTGTTTGGCCCTCAACCTCTATGAGATCAACTTTTTTACATTACACGTATGAGTGAATCATTACACGTATGAGTGAACCTATGTGGCTTTGTGTTCTGTGTCTGGCTCATATCTTCCAGTTTCAACCCTGTTATCACAAGTGACAAGGTTTCATTTTTTTATGCCTGGAATAATGTTCCATTGTGTATATATTTTTTTTATGTATTCATTAGTTGGTAGACTCTTATGTTGATCCATTTCTTGGCTAGTGTGAATAGTGCTGCAATAAACATGGGAGTACAGATGTCTCTTCCTGATAAGAGGCACACTGGTTTCATTTTCTTTGGATGTTTACCCAGTAGTAGGCGTCCAGGAACATATGGTAGTTGTATTTTTAATTTTTTGAGTATCCTCCATACTGTTTTCTACAGGGGCTCTACTAATTCATATTACCACTGCGGAGGTGTAAGAGTTCCCTTTTCTCCATGTCTTCAACCGGCAGTTGTAACCTTCTGGCTTTTTTGCTGATAGTCATTTTTACTTGAGTGCGGTGATACTTCATTTTAGCTTTGATTTTCATTTCCCTAATGAGTACAGATATTGAACATTTTTTCTTATACCTATTAGTCATTTATATGTCTTCTTTTATGACATATCTAGCTCTATTTTCCACTTTTAAATTAGTTCATTTTTCCATAAAGTTGAGTACTTATGTATCCTGCATATTTATTCTTTATCAGATATATTGTTTGAAAATATTTTCTGTCGTTCTATAGGTTGTCTATTCATTCTGCGGATTATTTCTTTTGCTATTCAGAAGCTTTTTAATTTGCTGAAATCAAATGGGCCCAATTTTTTTTTTATTTCTAACTCATATTTCTACTAGATAGTACTGCCCTAATTGGAGGTTTACATGGGAACTATTATTTATTTATAAAGTGCTTTTTACATTTATTTGTGGGAGGTGGAAATAAGAGATATTGTAGTTTTGTTTTGGTCATTCACTCCCACTAAAACTCAAATAAGCCAAAAGTAGCATTGAATTTAAAAAGGAAAAAAAAAAATAAGAGGTGGTTTCAAGTGGCTCCCAGGTACTGAAGCAAGACTAATTCTTTCAAGGGTAAAGATTAGACCACCAAGCAACTTCAAATACCAAGGAGATTTCTCCTGGCTGTTATTTATAACTCTAGCTGTTAAAGGTGAAAAGCCAAGTTCTTTTTCTTTTTTTTTTTTTTTTTTTGGACCTTCATAAAGTCTTTGTAATCTAAAATGAAAAATTAAAGCAGTGATCCTTCTTGACTCTGCAGAAATATTTATTATAAGTTCCCAGCAAGTTCATCATTTTAAAGAATGATAAAACCCATATTTCTCATAGGCCCAACAAACATTTCTACAAGCCCTTTGAAAATAAGAACAGCCTATTTTATTCATCTTATTCAATCTCTTTCATTATCTAGCACAGTACTTTGCACTTAGTAGGCCCTCAAAACAATTTTATATAGTTATGATCCACTAGGGCTAGGGATATACTCAGTGGCACAGCACCTGCCTGCAAAGCTCAAGGTCCTGAGTTTGATTCCTGGTACCAAAAAAAAAAAAAATCATCAGTTATGATCCACAGCCAGGTTTACTTTGGTCAGACTCAAAGTTTAACTACAGAGATACTCCTATTTGCCATTTCCTTGGGACTATTTTTGCCTCAATAAATATTTGTTGAACTAATGATAACGCTTGTCTTTATAGCTGTCCCTTTTTTCTAGGTCCTGTGTCATTTTGTGTGTATATACATGTCTGACTTGCTTGTTCTGTTTCTGCCTGTGTTTCTCTTGTTTCCTCAGTGTGGTCTCATCTCTTTTTGTCTGTGGCATTGACTTGGTCTTTGTCCTCACATATGCATATCTGTCTTTTTAATGCATGGTGGTTATATCTACTACCAATTTTCACATATGTAGCCAGCCCAAATGGTAATAATATAAAATCAAAATATATTTTAAAAACAACTTTTGAGCCAGTTGTGGTGGAACACATCTGTAATCCCAGCATTTGAGAGGCTGAGGCAGGAGGATCGCCATGAGTTCAGAGGCAGCCTGGACTGCACAGTGAGTTCAAGAACAGCCTGGACTACACAAAGGGACCCTGTCTGGAAAAAATGAATAAATAATTAAAAATAAATATTAAAAAGTCTTTGAGAGATAAGCTAGTAGTTTAAATCTATTTATTTACTGTGATTTTACCATTTGCTTAATTTACTGATTTTATATTTGTTCTTAACAGAATCTTCTCTATTAAGCCTTGAAGTGAACTAGAAAATTTTTTTTCTCTTTAGATAAAGGCCATTTATATTTTAACTTTGTTTTTACTTACATGGCTCTCAACCAATTTTGCATAAATTATTGGCCTAAGACAAACTAGTTTCAAATCTCAATATATAGAACTTTTATTTTCTTTTTATTAAATTTGGGTTTTTTAGTGTTTGCTTTTGCTTTACCTTTTTTTATGGTGACTTTTAAAATCATGTCAGTAATCATTTGGTACTAGGAATCATCCACTCTAGCATTCCATTTTCAGCTTCAGGGAGTATAATAGCTCACTCCTGGAACAGGATTTGAGAAAAATCTCTGCCTTAATTAATCACTCTCATCTAGTTGGAAAACTGAATTTTTCCGGTATGGGTGTCTGCCATCCTAGCATGCACCTCTGGGGCAAGAGAGTCAGGCTCTATCACTCATAAATCAAATTCAGAATTTCATGTCTAATCATTTGAGGCCATAGCAGTAAGCTGAAGGCTAAAAATTACATTAGGTCACTCGATTTGCTGTGAAGTGTTTTGTACTTAGCCTCCAAATCAGACAATTAGAGTAGATGCACAAAAAGTTGAAGTGGAAAGCAGGAAGGCAGGAAGGAAGGAAGGAAGGGATGGAGGGAGAGAGGGAAGGAGGGAGGGAGGAAAGAAGGGAGGAAGGAAGGAAGGAACTCAGCAACATAAGTTTGCCAAAAAATATATCTGGTGGAAACTAAATAATCTTCATTCACGAGGATACTTATTTAAAACAATAT